CTCCTTCCGTTGGGCGAAATTTGCATTGAGGCTCGGGGCGGGCGAGTTGTTCCGAGAGAGCGAGCAGATGAAGGAGTCAACACACCCTGCGCACACACACACGCTCTTGAGGCATAACAGGGAAGGAGATAATACTATAAATATTTGGACATCCAGTTTACATCCTGTGCCTTCCTCCCTCGCCTCTCTTTCTTTCTTTCTCTCTTTCTTCTTCTCCACTCTTGGTGAAATTTATCTGCTAAAATAACTTCCAACTGGAATGCAAATCAGCCCGCTGGAATCGAACCAAATTAGATGAGAGAGTGCGGATTTATTTCATCTGCCGACCGGCCGACGCGAATCGCACGAGCTAATTCTGTGCCTCGAGCAACCAACCCAATCTCCAATCGAGAAAAGAGCAGCCAAACTCGATTTGCTTTGAAATCTGCTGAGCAACAATTTATTCTCTGCCTCAGATCAATCGGATTTGGTCGGATAATTGAAGAAAGAAGACACGGATATTGATTTTCCAACCCTGAAAATATTACAATTTGGCCTAAAAGAGATTTAAAATTCGATAGAAAAGGAAAAATTTCTTTATAATTTTTAGGAGGATTTAATAAAAAATGTAACCAAAATAAAAACTAAAGATTTCCTACAGGTTTAGGATTTTGAAAATAACAATGAAAATCAATTTGAAATAGAATAATAAAGGGTTCAAATTATCATATTTGTTCGAAATCTCTTTAAACTTAACAATTCAATTTTTAAATAATAAGTTACAATTTAAAAGGTTAAAAAGTAGTTTTAAAAAGAGAATTTTCAGACTTTTATTGATATTTTTTATGTGCACGCGTTTCACTTTGAGCAATGATTTTACGATGGGCCCCGTTTAAAAAGCAGCAATCACCATTGCAATGAGATGATGTTTGGTTTCGTTCTCGCTCATAAATCGGACAGGCTTATTGCCGGCGGCGTTTTTTCGCTGACAGGCACTTTGGCGCGGAAAAATCTCGCGAGAGCGAAATAAGAAATTGCCAATTTGTGTCATCATTACATCCCGCGTGGATTGGATCGGCTCCTCGTGCCAACGCACACCCCCGCTTATATTCCTTCTCGGTATATCTAAAAAAAATGTCGCGCTGCCTGGATAAACAAATAGATCGACTGACCTTGTCACGCGGACCGAGCTTCCAAATATTTGGACACGAATATTGCGAAATTCATTGCCCATTTCAAATTCAGTGACGACGGCTGCGCGCTTTGTGTCGGTCGACGTTCCAAACTCATTTCGATGACATTTGACGGAAAATTGGTATTTGCGTTGGTTCTATTTTCGTGACTGCAGGTCAAACAGTCTCGGTGATGAGAATGGTTTCACTTTTTTCTTATTATATTAAAATTATGAAGATATCTTATTCAACTTTTTTTAAGTTTCTTCTGAAGCACCAATAAACACGCGAGGTTTTTATAAATAAAATCGACTTAAAAAATTAACAAAAATCTCTAAGTGCAAAGTAATTTGGTAAATAAATGATGTTTTTTGTGCAATTTTGTTAAAACTTTGCTGTATTGATGTTTAAATGGTTTAAATAAAAAACCAATTCAACCGAGGCTCACTGCGGCAAATGGATTTTTTTTATCTTGAAACATAATTCTTGACGCTTTTGTCCAATAATTTGTTTTTTCTATAAAAATAATAGATAATTCTGATAATTATTTTAAAATAGACTGATTTTAAATAAAAATTTCTTTGTAAAAAGATAAATTACTTGTTTTTTTGTTTTTTTAATTGCCAAAAATGTTTTTGAACTTGTTCCATAAATTCCTGTGTTGAAGCTCAATTATTTTGATTGTTACAAGATACCAAAAACCTTTTCAGGCGAGTGTACTGCTAAGAAATGGTCCGATCGAATTGCCTCAAAATTGAACAGAGTTGATAAAAATTATTATATTGTGGTGAAAATTATGTCAAAGTGAAAATTTGTGTTTTCTTGACCTTTTTTGACCAATTTAAACCATGTTAAGTACCAGATTTGACTCCAGATTAAAACAATCGGCAACAATCAAACAATCCGCTGATTTGACTATGTCATAAGCCTCTCCTTAAAGTGGGAAAATCTGTTAATTTGCTGAAGTGAAAATTTTAAATTTTGCAAATAGAAACTTTTCAAACCGTCTAATTTAATTTCAAACTCATTTCTTTTCAGGAAAACATAACAATTGAGCATTAATTTGATTCACCGTGATAGTTGTAAACTTTCCACCCTATTATAAACTACTTTGAACCACTTTGAGGGTTGGGGGTGCAGCAGCCATAGCCATCATTTATTTCTCTCCACACCGTAATAACTCAGATGTGGTTCAGATTCCGAATTGTGGTCGACGAGGGCGAAATGCTAACAAAGACCGACGGAAGCAGCTGACGAAACAGTAAAAATTTTAATGATGCTCTTTCCCTCTTTCGCACCACACACGTGCACAAAGGAGAGTGTGCGGTTTTGATTTGTGTATCTCGAAATTGGGCGAAGAAGAATAATAATTGCATGTTTTGAGTTGGATGGAAATTATTCTCGCCGTAAAATTTTAAAACACTTTCATTAGTATGCCGTCGGTGTATTTTTACTTTTAACGAGAGAGCATGTTTGAAATGAATTTTTATATCGGGCGAGAAATTTGAATTTTGCAAATTGCTGCGCGATTAAAAGGCAAAATAATGCTAAGCACTCTTATCGCTGTGCTAATTTATGGCCCGAGAGTTAATGGCGTGTGGTGCGGAAATTAAATTCCGGCTCGTGAAATAATAATAATTATTACCATTACTTGACGCATCTCCGATCTGCAGCTCGATGAATAAATGAGACGAGATCGATGCGGGGCGCCGGCGCGATTTGTTTTTTATTTTTACTGCTTTTCGCAGCAGACGGAGCGTTTTGATTTTACGACCTCTTATTTGCCTTTTTTTTATATTTCTTCGTCTCTGCAGTCTCGGATTTGCGTGTGTATGGGAAATGGCAACTTATTGTGCGCGAAATTTCACGGCAGAATGTGTCAAGAAAATTCAACTGCTGGCGCTTTTTCAAAAATGTCTTCAGTCAAGAACTTGGAATAAAAAAATTAAAAATATAATATCTAGTTAAAGGTGGTAAAAATTTCCTAAAGAGAAAATTTTGAAGTTCTTGGTGCTCTTGTAATCAAGGATGGACGCGATATTTTGCCATCAAATATATTTTTGAAAAAATATCTGAACGGTTTTTTGTTTTTTCTATTAATTCTGGTCTCAGAACGAGGAGTCCTAACAAAAATGAGCATGTAAATGACTTTTTTTAAGAAATGTTTCCATCAAATGACCTGAAATAGGCAGTTTTTTTCCAGATTTAACATTAAATCGAAAAAAGATCGAAAATGATCACATGATCAATTGCGATCATCTTTTCGAAAAAAGAGCGATCGAGATTGCAATTTTTTTCCTTTCCTGCTTGTAATTGTATTGTGCTGATAAATTTAATCCTTGTTTTATTTACAACTAATACACCTGATGATGAAATTTCTAATTTTATGAATTTCAAAAATGGAATTAAATTTTCAAGAGAAAAATTGGAATCTGTTAAAAAGATCAATAAATAAAAATTTGTTCCTTTTTCCTCAGATTAATTTTGTATTTTAATATTTTAAATATTAGAATGCTTCAGTTTTTACAGAATTTAAAATTTGTCTTCAATTGAAGGTAAATTTGCAAAAACTTTTGGAATAAATTTCCTTAAATAATTTTAAATCAAATTTCAATCTTAAATCAACCAAATTTTTACAATTTTCATTACTTAAATTTCCCCCAAAATGATTGGATCCAATATTGGTTTCACGCTAAATTAAATTCCGTTACAAATTCGGCCGAACACTCGACAGGTTTCCTCATTCGGAATTAAGAAGTGACGGCGCAAATCGCAAATATAACGGTTCGCGATAAGCCATGACCTGCAGATTGAAATAGCCTAATTACGCGAGTATGTAAAGGGTAGCGTCCTATGAAAGGTATAAGCAGCTTGGCATGACGATTATAACGTCTAAACGCGGTTGCGGGGCTTCTAGGCGGTGAGTTCCACGCAATCAATAGAACAAGAACAACACACGGCTAATTAGAGACGACGTAAACGTCTTAATGACGGGCTTCGTGTTGCCGCAGTGTAATTAACAAAATTATAATTATAATCTTTGATCCAACTGGCAATTAAAAAAAAAACGAAATGTTTCCCTTTAAAATAAAGAAATTGAGGAAAAATACTTTGAAACTTTCTTACCTTTTTTGAAGCTGATGAATTGGCCTGGAAAAGTTTATATAAATTTCAACCACCCCTATTTTAATGCGGTTATATAACAATTAGGACAGCATTAGACGACTTTTGGAAAGAAGAGTTTAATAAAACTTTAAATGAAGAATTTCAGACTTTTCGAACCGAACTTTGCTTTTAAAGGGGTTGCATAATCAAAGTTACGCTTGTAATGAGTCTAATTACACCTGTCCAAAGTTTCATACATTTAATATAAAATATTTGCACTCTCCCATTTTCAACGGGCAGACGACCCGAGCTCATGTGTGACCTCTGAACTTCAAAAATTTGCTCTCGTCCGGGCGGGCGGCAGACGAGAAGCTAATTTGCAAATGAAAGTAGTGCGAGCCGAATTTGAAATAATAATGCAGAGGCCAAAAAGTTTTTGCGTCGGAATGCAGCAGTTTATCCTTTGATGTTTTCACTAAACTATTCAGCAAAAAAGCTGTCGAAAACTTTTGTGCCTCAAATTTTTCGCAAAAAAGAACATTTGACCAAAAATGAGAATAATTCTCCATGATGAATTTTTAAAAGATTTTCTTTTAAGAAATTAAATTAAAATTGATTTTTGTTTAAAACAAAGAATTAATTTTGGTGTTTTTCAACAGTTTGATTAAAAAAATTGAACTTTCTGATGATTGCGCAATTTTCACCCCAAAATCGAAAATTTTTTAAGTTTTTTGAAAGGATATGGATTGGTGATCATCCTGAGGCACCAGTTCCTGGGCCGGGTCTGCTGGTCGAGGCAGCCGAGGGCCAGCGGGATGAAGCCCGGGTAGGGCAGGTCCTCCTCGTCGTCGTCCTCATCGTCGTCGTCGTCGTCATCTTCAAAGTCGGACAAGGGAACGTCCGACTCGGAGTCGGCGCCGCCGCCACTGGCACCGCCGTACACCTGTTCGCCGCCGAAACTGGTCGTGCCCTGACGCACCATGGTCGAAGGTCGAACCCCCTCCCCGCCTGCAGAAGGGTCAGTCACATCCGAGCATCACTGCAGGTCGCACAAAGTGTCTCTCGTCCGATTTTACTGCTCGCACTCCTCAATATCGAAATGAAACTTTCGCAAAAATTTTGCAGTTGGAATAAATTTCTGCAACACACGGGCCGCTCGCTAACCTGTAGAGGAGCGCGCTGCCGAGTACTGAAATTCCGCCCGCGACTCCCGTGCCCAACTTCAGGCGTGCGCCGTGAAGATCGCGCGCGCTCACCAGTCCCTCCTGTCTGGACACGTACGTACGTCGTCGGTCGTGCGCGCCCCGACACGCCACTCGCACTCCCAACTCCGAGGCCATGCACCAGGGCGCAGCAGCAACCCCGCCTCCCTATAGTCAAATCCTGCTATAAATTAATGAAATCAAAAGTACAAAAAAAATATTAATTTTTTTTACTTTTGGTTCACTTTTCTTGCATCAAATTTTCCAATATTTAATTATTTTTCTTTGTCAACTTATTTTAACAATTTTATAATTTAATTGTATAACTTATAATCGTAATTAATGCAAGTCAAATAGTTTTGCTTCCTAACAATTACCAGATTTTATGAAGAGAATATTAATTAAATTAAAATAAAATACAAAGTTTTAGTTAAAGGCAAAGACAAACATGTTAACTTTAATTTTATTATTTATAATAAATTAATGCATAAAACTGAAAACATATTTAATTTTTATTCAAATTAATACAATGTATGAATTATTATTTATTCTTCTCAGTCGATACAAAAAGTCATTATTTCGTAAAATAAAATTTTATATATTTTATTTTTTAATTCATTACCAACGTAAAAGATTGTTTTAAATTTATAAAAATAATTGTTGATATTAAATTTGTGTCTCTTCAACGCTTCTTGTGTGTCATTACAAAAAAAATTATTTTGTTTTTGTGCATAGAATATGAACCCGCGTGCTATGTCCAATGTTGTTCATGTGTCTTGAATAATTTCTATTAAAAGCTTAAAAATTAAAAGTTTTTCACCCTCAGGAAATTATTAAATTGTAAAATGCGTGGATAGTCTAGTCTAATATAAAGTTATAATGAGAACGCTCAGCCGACTTTAAGAAGCATAATTAGAGTTTGTGAAGACAAAAGTTGTTGTGAAGATGAAGTAAAATAAGAAAACTTACATTTTTATTTTCTTAAGTTAAAACAATATTATTTATTGCAAACAGCAATGACATTCATTTGAATCAGTACTTGGCATTTGATTTGTTTGTTTGTGCATGAAATTGTATATTCTAGATTATAGGTGTCTTAACTTTCAGGATACTTTGATTGCGGCAAGAATAGTAAATACAACTGCAAATTTATTTAAGATGGACTATTTAAGGAGTATATTATTTGCTGCAGTAAAAATAATATAATTGAATTTCTAGTAATTAACCATAAATAAAAACAGTCACCACATCAAAGTTGAGTTTTTTGCATATCAAATGCTATAACAATACATAATTATTTTATAAACCAAGCCCGCTTGGTATCTCATCAAGTCCTTTGGAGTTATAAATAAGTTTCGCAACTGCAGACAAATTACTTTGAAGAGAGGCGCTCGTCCAATAAACCCCGAAGTTGCTCTGGTTTGGTGACAGGCAGAGAGCAAGTGTGATTTCGGCACACATAAGCACTCGCCGAGCCATCTTTTGACACCTTCATTTTCTTGATTGTGGCGTTCCGCTGGTAAAGAATACCATCTTCGTCGCCGTCAGCAAAACCGAGCACCCGGCCAGGTATCAAGCGAGACCGAATTTCAGCAAGAAGATTCTGAGCACCTTCGCTTTTCGGGTCACCCGTCACAACCACCTATGAAGTTTTTTAAGTAAATTTTATTAGTTTTAGCAACAAAAGATATATCATTAAAGTAATGTTTGGTCTCTTTAAGGAAAGGAGACTTGTTATAAATAGAAAAACCAAGTTTATAATTTGAATTTACCTGCGTTGGAGAGTCTTGCAGCAGAAATAGGGAAGCACTCATTTCAGGAAGGGCGACTGGAATTTTTTCCAGTCGTTCTTTAAACGCCGATAAAAGTTTGATCGCCTTTTCTTCGAGTTCGTCTCTCTCCAGCATTCCGGAGAGGCGCATCAAATTTGCTGCAGAAACAGAATTGCAAGTTGGTTCTGCACCGTCTTGGCCTGCAAGAAAATTTTGAAAAAAAAAATTGTATTTAATTAAATTGTTAAAAAGTTTTTGTGCGTTTGCAAACAATCTCTCTAAAAACACCTGCGTTTAAGAAATCTGAGTTTTGTCATTTATACATATATTTTCAACTTTTTTCCTTCGTGATAAGAATTGTGAATGATTCATATTTGTTTAGACCAAAATTAAAGGATATTGAAGCTTTGTAAAATAAACAAATTAATTCATTTTACTGAACTCTGATGCAACGATTTTCAAGGTTAAATTATTTGTTCAATGTAAAATTAGCTCGAGTCGTGGATGAGGAAGATGCATAATTGGACAGACTACTCGATTGACAGCGACGACAATTTCCCTCGACAGCAAGAGGCGCAACGGCGGCGCGCACAATGCTGTAACGAGCGAATTTCCGTTCTGCCGTGCATGTCGTTGCTAATCAAGTCTTGCTTTCTGCGCGCGAGGGCCAATAAATGCCAGGGGGACACCAGACGAGATGAATCCATTTGGTCCACCTCTGCAATGCGGTCACACCTGTGACGTCACATGCCCTCTCGTCGAGTAATTAAACTTTGTTAGCGTCGTCGTGCACAATTTTTATTTCATGGAAATTGCCCCTAGTCGAGCAGCCACAGTGCAGAATAAAATTGCAGGCAAGTTTTTAATGAATTTGAATATTAAGCAAAGGGTCAGTGGTCCAGTCGCACATGGTTTGGTTATTGTTCAAATAAAATCAGAAATTTTCTCTAAAATGCAGAGAAACCCAATCCTAAATAGTTAATTTTATTTTAATTTTGGTTTCCTTTTACTTGTAAAAATACTTTTAATTTATTTTTAATTACCAAAGGTGTGCAAATAGCCAAACAAACTAGACATTAAAGTAATTAAAAATGTCAGTACCGTCCTTCAGGCGCAGCAAAATGTGAGAGTTCTGGGCAGTCGAGAAATAACCTGCATTCTCATTATCCCAAAACAGTTTGTCCTGCTTCTCTTGCAGATCATTTGCCCAAGTGAGCCACCGTGACTGCCCACTGGCTTCGTACAGGTCAATTAGTCCCCTTATCACAAATGCATAGTCGTCAGCAAAACCAGAAATAGGCTCATTTCTGCAAATTGAAGTTTCAATAAAAATCAAAATTAAAAATTTGTTAAATCCCACATTTGAGAAATGTTCCCTTTTTCGTCTTGGTAGCAACACCTTAGCAGAGTACCCGTTGTTTCATTGTACATGTGTTCTTTCAAAAAGTCAGCTGCCCTAATTGCTCTGTCCAGAACAGTCTCATCACAGATCGCTTCGTACGCTTTGCTCAAACCCGAGAGCATCAACCCTAAACAACAAAAGCATTTGTTTGAAAACTAACAGCCTTGACCCAAAATCAATGGTGTTTATACCATTCCATGCTGCAACCATCTTATCATCGAGATGGGGCCTTGGCCTGTTCTGTCTGGCTTCGTGTAAGATGCTCTGAATTTGTTTGAGCGCCGCTTTCGTCTCGGCCAAAGTCAAGCCGAATTTCTCACTCGTCTCCTCCTCACTTCCATTCACAATCAAAACATTTTGATTTTTTAGTTCATCATGTGGATCCTTCAAAAAGAAAATGTTAGGCAATTTGTTAACAGAGATTAATTTAGTTTCAAACCTGATAAGGATTAACATTGCCATCTGGTTGTATATCAAAGTGATGACAAGCAAGATCGGATAAGGTCACAGAACTGCCCTCTTTGACAGACTTTGAGCCCAGCAGTGAATCAACCTCTTCGTTCGTCCAAACACAAAATGCGCCTTCTTTTTTCTTGGGAGAATCAAATCCAGGCAGAGAGTCTGCATCTTCTGCACTGAAAAATCCTCCAGTCTGAAAAAATTAATATTAAATTTTTATTCCTTAAACATAATTAAACCGTTGATTACCGCATGACTCAGGTCTCGATTGACATAGGTGATGATATCCAGGATGATCTCCCTGAAGAATTCATCTTTTGTGGCCACATATGCTTGCGAAAACGAAACTAGCAACTGGCCTTGATCGTAAAGCATTTTTTCAAAGTGAGGGACGTGCCACTTTTCGTCAGTGGAATATCGAGCAAACCCCTTATTTTAAGCAAAGTCAATTTTAATAAATGTGTTGCATAATTTTACTGATCTACCTGAGATATGTGGTCATGAATGCCTCCCTTGGCCATCATTTTCAGGGTGTGAACGCACATGCTCAGGGCACTTTTGCCTTCGACAGATTCTGGATTTCGAGCGTAAACTTGGAAGAGAAAATTGAAGTTGGACGGCTGAGGAAATTTCGGCGCTTTGCTGAAGCCGCCGTACTGGTGCTCAAAAGCTTTTGAAAGCTGTTGCAAGCACTTCTTCCAGCTTTCAGAGGATATTTGAGATTGCCCATCGTTGAGTTCCAGTTTTGAGGTCCTTTCCAAAATTTCCAGGATCTTCGAGCCAGAGTCGAAAAACTTTTGCTTGTTTTCTTTCCACTAAAATACATTTATTTATAATTTTGCTTTTTATATTTGAATATAAATGGTGAAAGGGCAGCAGATGAGTACCTGTTTACTCAATAACAACAAAAGAGTTTTGAATCCAGGCTGGCCGTGGTATCGGTCGTCGGGAGGGAAATAAGTGCCTCCATGGACAGGTTTTAGGTCTGGAGTCAGCCAGGTACTCATCGGCCACCCACCATCACCACTGATTGCCTTCAAATTGATCAATTAATTTACCTGATTAGAAATGCTTGTGAGCACCGTGTCAAATCCTGGCCGGCCAAAAGTGTTTTTTGGTGGGAAATATGTGCCCCCAGCAACGGGGACCAAGTCGGGGGTCAAAAACACACTCATGGGCCAACCACCACGGCCTGAACTTGCCTAGTCAAGTAATTCAATCAATATTTTCATTATAAAGTTAATTTGAAAAGAAATAAATGGACATAATTAAAGCGATGACCTAAAAAACTTAGGATAGTTTTTTTTTGTTTTACCTGAACGAACGTCATGTAAACTTTATCGACGTCCGGTCTTTCCTCCCTATCCACCTTGATGTTAATGAAATTTTCGTTCATGATTTTGGCGATTTCCTCATTTTCAAAGGATTCGTGTTCCATGACGTGACACCAGTGACAGGTTGAGTATCCGACAGATAGAAAGATCAGTTTGTCTTGCTTTCGGGCCTCTTCGAAAGCCTCTTCTCCCCATGGATACCTGTATTAAAAGATATTATTTAGTAAAATAAAGAAAAAAATTTTTAAGGAAATTTTCTGATAAATAAAAACATCATAATTTTACCAATCAACGGGATTGTGGGCATGTTGAAGGAGGTACGGCGATTTCTCTTTGGCCAATCTGTTTGTACTTTTGGTTGATGTTGCCATCGGACGAAGCTCTATTTTGAAACTAAAAACTCATGTTAATGAAGAAAACCTAGACATAAAAAAATAATACCACTTTAGGTGAGCAGCAGGCAGTTGAAGGTTGTGCCTGCAGGATGGCAAGTTGTGATAGGAAGACCCGCCTTTGATGAAGATCGAGGCTGCTGGATAAACCCGGAAGGTTCGAGCAGCTTGAAGGATGCCACAAAACATAACATCCGAAGGTGAATTATTGAACAGAAATTATCTAAGTACGAGGCGAGAGTGTATAATTTTGCTTCTCTCGAGATTGAGGTTGTTTTGATTTTGGATCTGCAGGAGCTTCGCAAAACGCCGCCAGATGGTGCGGCATTCGCACATGTGAGCTCCATCATCTGTTCGCTGCTTGTTTTTCGCTTTTCGCAAACCAAAACAAAATGCCAGAAGGTGTGCGAGGGTAGTTGTGTTCGACACTGTCCGAAGTTGGGTTTGAAGGTTGATCAGGGACCGCGGGACGTCCGAAATGGCGTCGGTCGACTCGGGCGTCGAGACGGAGAACGACAGCAACGACAGCAGCCAGGAGAACAACCGTCGCTCGATGGACCAGAGTCCAGCGTCGTCCCTGCGCGACTCGCGCAGCGCGTCCGAGAACTCGTTCTTCAGCGGTCGCGACCCTGTGCCGAGCACCTCGCAGCAGCCGGACGGAGGTGCGTCCTCGTCCAAGCAGCAAACCCAGAGCAAGCCTGGTGGTGACCTGGTCGCCAGCCTCGAGGTTGACCTCGAAAACCTCAACCAGCTGAAAGAAGTCAGAGGAAAACTTTCATTAAAACATGTTTTAATTTGAATTACATTCGCAGAAGTTTCGACTGATTTGCTCGACCTTTTCAAATTCTGCCGCACCTCGGAGGAATTTCGCAGCGGACAATGGAAACGGATCGTCGTCGTCGCTGTGGGAAGCCCCCAGTTTATTCACCAGCGAACCTGTTTTTCACGTATGAATTAATTTCATTGTTTTTTGAGAAAGTTTGATAAAATTTGTATGAATTTGCAGGCTGAGAACTCAGAAATGTTGGAAATCGAGCCGCCGGCTGGGCTCGCGTTTGAAAACTTGCGACCAAGAAATGGGGCGCTCACCAATGGCCAAGGATACGAAGTTTCTAACGACACTGGTAAAATAATTGAAATTTAAATACTTTGAAGTAAAATATTTTTTCCACAGTGGAAAAAATTGCCTAAGAATTAATTGGAATTTCCTTTTTATTCTGAGTGTGAATTTAATTTATTTCTTTACAAACCAAGTTGTCTAAGCTTTTTTAAACTTGCAGCATTTTCGAGGCGGCTGGATGGCCAGAATCGATTCAAAGCAATCCGCAGGATATACCGGAATCAATCTCGACAAGCGCGGCAAGCACTCATTGAGCCGCTGACTGTTTTTTGTATGATCAATCTGTCTTTCCATTTTATAGTTAATACAATTTTACTTTTCTCAGATGAGAGAAATCTGCGCAGAGCTGTCTCCGCCAATAATATTGAGACTGTGGAAACCCTTTTGAACTCTGGCGTGAACCCCAACGCTTGTGATGAGTTCAAGAGGGCTCCCCTTCACTTGGCCGCATGCCGCGGTTTTATTCAAATACTCCAGTGAGTGATTTGCTTCTTGTTTAAGAAAAATTTAAAATGATTTGTCTATGTTGCAGATTGTTGCTAGACAAAGGTGCAAATCCTAACCAAAAGGACTCAATGGGCAACACGGCCCTCCATTTGGCAGCTTGTACAAACAATGTTCCTGTTGTCACACTTTTGCTCAAAGCAGGTGCGATCTGAATGTTACATTAGAAAGTTCGAAAATTGCTCATTTTCAATATATATTCTCTACACTTCTTTATTAAAAATTTAATAATCTCAATAATTTTCAATTAATACAAAAAAAATCATTTTCTGTATATTTTTTTTTCTCGTCAACAGAATTTGAAAGGGTCAAACAAATTTGTCTATGCTTCTGCAAATTTATTTCTAACTTACAATATTTTGATGATTTTCAGGAACTGACGTTTGTTCCCTGGACCAGTACGGTCGGAATCCACTGCAGTTGGCGCAGACGCGGCTGAAAATGCTGCAGGCGACGGCGGCGTCGAACCCGGACGCCATGCAGGTCAAAAGTGAGGTGCAGAATGTGATCGACATGATGCAGATCTACCTGCATCGCATCGGCTCGCAGAACAGAGATGCCGAGAATGAGCTGCTCAACTCGTTTTCAACGCGGCTCACCCTTTCACAAACTTCCCAAGAGGTCGACCACGAACTGAGAGGTCTCCTTGCCAGTCTGTCCAATCTCAACATAAGCAAGACGCCTGGCAAGGGAGGCCTTGAAAGCATAGACGTCTAGCACAGTTGTTTGACTGTCGACAGATCAGAAATTTCACTAGTTCGTTACAAATTGTGTTTTCTACAAATTTATTATTAGGTTTAAGGGCGATAATGTGGCGCTCTCTGAGGAGGGCGTTTCTAATATTGAGTTGTGGGCATTTTGGCTGATGATATGTTGTGTTTTAATTTATGTTATTTAATTGAGGGGTTTCTGCATTTTTTATTAAAATTGCCTATAATTTAGACGGTCGAATCAGCTCAAAATGCCCCTCTTCTTGTGCAACTCTTACTAATTTGTAAGGGCAAGTAGTTCAGCTTTAATTTCACATTGGCCAAAGGAATAATCTAGGTTTGGAATGTATTTAGTTTGTGCTAAAAGAAAATTAAAAATTTCAATAAATTTTGACAATATACTTGTGATTTTTTTTAACACAGCTCCTATTAAACTATTCTTTTTTTTAAATTAAATTGATTTTAATTTAATCCGCAGGCCAAGATGTTGCTCAGGCGACGGCTGCAGTCGTGGCTGTTTTTCCGGCTGGCCGCCTTCCTGACCGTGATCAGCCCCGTTTGAGTGTTCGGCCGCCTCATATGCACAGCCAACTGCTGCTGGCTGTGTTCAGCGTGGCCGCCGGCCTGCAGGGCCTGGTGGTGGCGCTCAGCGTGGCTTGTAGCTGCCGCGTCCCCAAGACTGTGTACACGTGGCCGCCTCCCGCGGCCAGGCGCTGCACAAGGCGCCCAGCGCCATGCACCTCCTCCAGTGCGACGCCTCCCCGGTCTGAGACACCACAAAAATTTCAACTGATGAACAAAAATAAATGTCTGCTTATCACCCCCATACAATCCATAATTGTAAAACTAAAAATGCAATCTCGCTCTGTATTAATAAATAATGTCTAATTTGGTGTTTATTTTAAAGAACTTGATTTCATTTGTTACAAAATTAGCTTATTAGCTGTTAACATCCATTTTGTTTGTTATGTGAGCAAGGGGGACATAAATTAGAAATTTTTGAATGAAAAAAGGGCAAATAAACATCAACTGTCTCATTTCTGGCATCTATTTATTAATGATTTTCGCAAAAGTCCAAAACCTATTGGTTCAGATTCAGATTCTGCCACTGTCTTTGAGGGAAAAGAAACAATGAAAAGATTTGAAGAAAAAAATGCCAAGTGTGTTGGTGAGCTCGACTGCTTTTAACACACTATGACTGATCGATTGTAAAATCATCAGAACTCCTCTTTCATTAAGCAAGGTTGTCAAAGAGGGGTGTTGGACCAAATTCTGACCGATCATTTTTCTCAGATTATTAATCTACCACTTAATATGAGCCACTCAAATACTATAATTCTCAGAAATTAGAACATTATGGCCAGTTCTGCAAATAAAAATTAACAAGAGTTGTATATTAACTCCTTCGCACATCCTTCGCATTTTGATTATACAATTATGTTAATGACGTTAATGATAACCTAAAACATTTTTTTTTTTCAATTTATTTTTCATTTCTCTTGAAGATACAGCATCACATCATTTTATAAACTCAGGTGATTTGTTGTTTCAGCATTTCAATTACATAAGTTTTTTTAAAACAAAAATGCAAGAATGCGTTTCAATAGTAAAGAAATTTTGCTGCTCCACAAATATATTAGTTTAATTTATTGATTCATCGGTCTCGCACTCAAAGGAACATGTGTGTTGTGTCAAATAATTAGGATGCTCTACTGCTTAAAGTAACTTAAACTCTACCTTTACATGGTCTCCGCAGCGCCGTGCTCCCCCTGCTGGTCTTGCTGTGGGGGGCAGCTTGGTTGCCGTTGCCATTCGGTGCCCTGGAGACCACCTGCCGCCAAGAGTGGCAGGCCCAAAGGTTGAGGGCCAGCCTGGCCCAGCTGGGCTGCATGTTGCACGTCTGCTCCTGCAGCTGGGAGAGGCAGGCCAACGTTCTGCTGTGGCTGGAAGGCTGGCAGCTGCGCTGGAATCACAGCCGGCAAAGGGGGCAGATGAGCAGCCAGGTGGTCTTCAAAACCGTGGACGACAAAGTGATGACGAGCACGATGAAGCAACTCGTCATAACCTGAAAAAAAAAAAAATCAAGAATCAATAAAATTTCCGAAAATTTCAAACATTTTAAAAATAAAAAAATTATTACAACTAACCATGAAGTTTCACAATTTTAACCTCGAATATGCAATTATATAAATATATTTTATATCTCAAGGAACAGACTTACCCTCCGTGATCTTGAAACGCATGCCCATGCAGTAACAGACAATCGGGAGCATGCGGCGGCTCAGCAGATCAAAGTGCAACAGGCTTTGACGAACTGCAGCAGGCATCTCGTCAAAGAAGTGCACTCCATTTGCTGGATCAGGCTGGAAAGTCAAGCTGGAGGCTGAGACGATTGCATCGATCGCTTTCTGCTTGATGAGGCTGCGCTTGGCAGATGCTATAACACAAGATTAAATTGATAATTTAAAATTTTATATTTCAACATCCATGATATTTTTCATCACTACAATCAAAAACACGGCAAAATTTTCAAAGTATAGAAGAAAAAAACTATGCGTAAAAGTAAGATTAATTTATTACATGTAAAAACAAGATCAAATTTTACGCAAGCAAATGAATATTATGAATATCGGTGACACAAAGGCACGAGACGTATGTGGCACCCACGAATTGAACGCAAACGAAAATTTAAATTTATGCCTTCAGCATTCACAATTTTGGCCCCGTCATTTCCTAATGAAAAAATGGAGAGAGGGGCCAGAATGGAAAGTCCTCTCACAATTCTGGCCACACACCTCAGAATAAATGAGAATATAATTTGAGTAGTTTATCAAACATTTAAATCACAAACCGCGGTGATGAAAAATTGACTAATTTTTAGGATTGAATATAAAAAATATTCAGTAAACAGCTTTCAAATGAAAGTAACTAGAAAATTTAACATTATTAATAGAAAAATCTAAGATGCAAAATATTTTTTATGTCCCAAGGATTCAATCTCTTGCCATATATTTTTTGTTAACCATTCTAATGAGCGACATAATTAGCAGATTAAATGTAAAACACAACACTAGATAATGTGAGAATCCCCAAGTTTTGTGAATTCTCAGAAAAACTTATTTTCGGGTGGTCAGAATTGCAAGTCAACCATAATTATTTGTTAATTTAGATACGTGTCAATTCTTTCTATAAATATTCAACTCGTCGTGACCTGAATAAAAAAAAATCAAAAATCAATAAAATTTCCAAAAATTTCATGCATTTTAAAATAAAAAATTATGACAACACCATGAAGTTTCTCAATTTTAACTTCCAATATGCAATTATATAAATATGTTTTTTATCTCAAGGAACAGACTTACCCTAGGTGATCTTGAAACGCATGCCCATGCAGTAACAGACAATCGGGAGCATGCGGCGGCTCAGCAGATCAAAATGCAATAGGCTTTGACGAACTGCAGCAGGCAGCTCCTCAAAGAAGTGCACTCCATTTGCTGGATCAGGCTGGAAAGTCAAGCTGGAGGCTGAGACGATTGCATCGATTGCCCTCTGCTTGATGAGGCTTCGCTTGGCAGATGCTATCACAAGATTAAATTGATATTTTAAAATTTGATATTTCAACATCCATGATATTTTTCATCACTACAATCAAAAACACGGCAAAAATTTTAAAGTATAGAAAAAAAACTATGCGTAAAAGTAAGATTAATTTATTACATGTAAAAACAAGATCAAATTTTACGCAAGCAAATGAATATTATGAATATCGGTGACACAAAGGCACGAGACGTATGTGGCACCCACGAATTGAACGCAAACGAAAATTTAAATTTATGCCTTCAGCATTCACAATTTTAACCCCGTCATTTCCTAATGAAAAAATGGAGAGGCCAAAATTGAAAGTCCTCTCACAATTCTGGCCACACACCTCAGAATAAATGATAATATAATTTGAGTAGTTTATCAAACATTTAAATCACAAACCGTGGTGATGAAAAATTGACTAATTTTTAGGATTGAATATAAAAAATATTCAGCAAACAGCTTTCAACTGAAAGTAACTAGAAAATTTAACATTATTAATAGAAAAATCTAAGATACAAAATATTTTTTATGTCCCAAGGATTCAATCTCTTGCCATATATTTTTTGTTAACCATTCTAATGAGCGACATAATTAGCAGATTAAATGTAAAACACAACACTAGATAATGTGAGAATCCCCAAGTTTTGCGAATTCTCAGAAAAACTTATTTTCGGGTGGTCAGAATTCAGGGACGTAACTTCAAAGTCGGGGGCCCACGGACGCCCCTGTAAAGTAGGCAGCGCCTTGGCACGTATGCGTTGTGGGTTGCCTAGTTCAGCGGCTTTGGTGGGCCCCTTGACCCCGTGGGCCCCCGGACATGTCCGACCTGTCCATATGGAAGTTACGTCCCTGTCAGAATTGCAAGTCAACCATAATTATTTATTGATTCAGATACGTGTCAATTCTTTCCATAAATATTAAATGTACGTAAAAACAAATACGTGAATAGACTTACGACCGACAAACTGCAGCCCCAGACCATTCCACAGGCACACGATTTCGAATATGCGCCTTCGGGGAGGTCATCAATGTGATGGGCATCCTGCGTCGAGTTGGATTCAAGCAGGTTTCCTGCGACATGGCTCATGCAAGCGCACTTAAACACCACTCGTTGGCCACGATTCGCCATGCTTGACCTCTGGACGCGGGGGTTGGGGTTCAAGTCAAGAGAAACTGGGGACAACACTGCGGTGATTAGCGATTCGAAAATGGCGAGGGGACGCGCTCGGTTCGGTTGTTCTTGCTTCTTCTTGGCCTTCTTGCCTTGAATTCCTTGCCTTGAATGCCGAATGCCATGCTTGAATGCCTTGCTTCGGCTCGGCTCGGAAACGGGGCTCCCCAAGCCAGTTGCACGGCTTTCTCGTTCGCGTGATGCTCGTATCGTGGCGCTGACGCTCGTGGGCTCGGCGAGCGCCGTAAAAGCGCGGCAAGAATAATGTCGCAAGTCATTTTTTCTGGCCGCAGGCAGTGGGCTGACCAAAATCAGGTTAATTGCATGGCGATTGTTAATTATTTGTCTTACAATTAGTGTTGCTAAAGGATATTTAATTTAAGTGTAAGATCAATACAAAAATCAACATACCGCCGCTTGCTTGTTGAAATCTAGCCTTTTGACATGAGTAAAAGACACAAACCAAATTTGCGTCCACATCGTGAGATTCTTTGCAGGGAGGATCGGTCACTGTTCTTGGAAACAGAACGGTCAGACGCCACACCTCTGGAAATTCCCCAGCACCTGCTTCTTCTGTGCGAGGACAAAAAGCGTTCCTTACGTCTTCGTTCGACGTTCGTTCTAAGCGTAGGGTTGTAAAGAATTATACAAAAGTCTGGAGTCTCATTAACGAAAATTTATTTCTAGTAGCATCAGGGTATTTGCCCTCATAATAGAAATTTCAATTAAATCTAAATGCAATTATTATTATACTGTGCACTCTCTCAATCACACGAAAATTAGATGCATTTTAGCTTTTGTAATGAATATTAATTAATTAATCTGTTATAATATAATTTATTTAAGAATGGGCATAAATAAAAATTAAAGGATTTTTTTACCCCAAAATTAATTTTCATTATTTATTTATGGTATTTGTTTGCACTAATCTTTACACACTCGTACACACTACTAAAATTTCTGTTAAATCAGCAAGTCTCTATATAGGTTGACGTCAACCTTCATATTGTATTATGCTCTCTATTTAATATATTTGGCTAATTTGTCCTTAAAAGCAGAAAATGTGTGATGGAAATCCCAATGTTCGCGGGACACGATAGCCTAATAGTGCATAATTTACATGACTCGCTACAACTTGGATGGACTTCGTTTGGTTTAAAACTTTTTCCTATGATAATATTCAAAGAAAAATAACACATTATATTCATCAAGATGAATAGGAAAGGTAAATTCATAGAAATCATCTCTATATGACTCACTTAAAGCACCGGAACTGGCAGGGAAAATTTCCCTTGTGTGTTTTGGGAACTAATTTTTGAGCAAAAAAGAACACCAAGAAAAGTTATGAACCCAGGAAAAATAATCCTCGTCTATCTTGTGAGAATGCGCGACATGCCAGGCATCACTTCAGCTTGTATGGGCCCGTAGTCGACGAGCTCTCCATCGACTGTGATGTGTCCGGTGCTCTTGACGTTTTCGGGCTCAAGACGGAATGCAGTCACAGGAATCATTTCTACGATTGGCATGTGGATATGTGATCCAGACGAGAGACCAAGAAGGAACTGCGGACAGGATTTTTTTTTTTAATATTTTGCTTAAAAATATATGGCAATTTTCTTACTTGGAGCAATTGGCTCCTGGAAGCTCCGGCCCTGATAACCACCAGCCAAATAACGCCATCATCTGGCCGAGCGTCAGGCGCTATGTAGCCATCAGCACCAATGTGTGACTGGTAACTAGCATGGACCATCACAAATTCCCCTGAGAACATAAAATTTATATTGTAATTTAAAAAAAACAGAGCTTTTTGTAAAATTCCAAATAAAACCTTCAATAACTGTCCAGTTTGAAGGGACGGGTTGCGTGAGGGAAGGCAGTTTGGAGGCCGGTCCGTACATGCAGATGGGGTCCGGGGACTGCTCGTCTGGCAAAGTGAGGGAGTGGTACGAACTGGCCGCCACCGAGTAAAAGGCGCTGCTTCTCGACTTGGCCGAGTAGAAGCTGTCCAGGCGGAGTCTGCTGCCGTTGGGGTTGTTGTTGTCCGGGGCGGCCGTCTCTCCTAATACTTCGCCATCCATTTCATACTCCAGCACGGAAAATTCTTCTGATATGGAGGAGGCGGTTGAGTTGAGACGCTTCCGCAGCGCAGGAGACCTTAATTAATAATTAGAAAATAATTAACTTGTCTTTCAAATAATTTATAGACCTCAATTAATAATTTCATCATTATGAAAAATATATATATTTAAATGTGAAAGCTATGACAACTTTTAAGCATGGAATTTAAAAAAAATCAATTAGTGGAAATTATTTTATTTAAAAATAAGTAAAATTTAATGCATGAAATATCAGCAAATATTATATTTTGTCACATTTTTATTTCATTTCTTGTTTCAATTGTGATAAATTGAACTCTTTATTGGCTTCAATTGATAAATATTTTATTTTTCTGCACGCACTTATCAATTGGAAGTGACAGTGGGGCACTGAGGTCCTCGTGGCAACTCTGACTGCGGTAGTTGCCGTTGAAGCCATTGGTGGTTCCGTTGCTCATGTTGTTGATGGCCTCGTTCTCGCTGGTGCTTCGTCGGAGCAGCGGTCCGTTTCCGGCCGACCTGTAGCCGGGTGCGATGCAGTACGACAGGCGGCCCCGATATGTGCGCAGTCCTGCGTAAAATAATCACAATCATTGCAATTTATTATTAAAACTTTGTAACCCTCAACATGCAAAATCCTCGCTGTGGATGCTTGTGATACAAAAGAAAGACAAAGAGACACCCCGGGGCTGCTCCCGGGTAAAAACAAGAGGCGGCGCTTCTTTAGTGGTGGAGAATGTCAAGGGTCGTGCACAGAATTTGAAAGAGGCTCTCAGGCCGGCATGATAATTGTCTGCATGCAAATATTGTGTCTGCCCGCCCCGAGTGCATAATTTGAGGTTGCTTACCAACAAGCCTGGCCAAGCTCCAAACTGTGAACCTCTGGCCGCCGATTGCCCTCAGTCTTTCACTCTCGATGTCAATGTCGGAAATCAAACCCCAGCCGATGGATAGGAACGAATAAGTTATCTGCAATAAAAAATTACAATTAACAGATAATTTAATCTGAATTAATTTCATGGTATTTTTTTTAAAAATATAGTGCTTATTAGAAAAAAATATACAGAAAAAGTTTTTCCCTCTCAGTCTAATTATTGTTAGCACAATAGGAAACTACTCACATTTGAATTTCTCACGCGATATTGGTTTACAAAGCAAAATATTTACCCACAAAGCTATTTGTGAATGTGTGAAATAATTAGGCTTGTTGGAAACAAAAGCACAACTGTGTGACAGAAAAAGACAGGAACAAAGCAAAATGCCAAAGAAAATCAAGAGAGTCTACCAATTTTTGTTGATTTTTTTAAAGAAAATAATTCAATGTTTCCATCCCAAAGTTTGTACCTTTATTGGACTGTCTGGCACCTAAAATTTCATTTCCCAATTGAAATAATGTATAAAATAAATAAAGTAAGAGAAATAATTAAAATTTTGAAAAAACTCACAAGGGACTTGGTTTCCACCCTGATCAAATCCATGGGCGACTTGTGACCTTTGACAACATTCAGGGCGGATACCAGCACTGGATTTTGGCTGTACGGCTCTCTGTAATTGATAAAATATTAAAAATATCTGTTCAAGAAGAAAACTTTCTCCTGAACATACCCTTGTGCGAAGCTTATTGATTTGGCCAAACCGTTTCCGGAGCCGCCGGGGATAATTCCGAGGCCCAGTTGGCACGCTGATTCCCAGTCAGGTCTCTCTATAAGTCCATTGATCACCTGAAACAAGCAAGTTTATGTTTTTTGATAAAAATTATTTGATGTTAACAAGAATTGTAATGAAAAGAAGTGAAAATTCCACCGCCTCGAATCTTTTCATTTCCTCTGAATAAAAAAGGCGCAGCTATTTTACTCGACCTCTCACCTTTGCGCGCCTCATTACGCACACGCAAAACCGCAAGAGGTCGGTCGAAGATGTCGGGTATATTAATTAGCACGCGGGGGATGAAAAGGGTGGCGCTTTTTTTCCGAATTTATTTAGGCACGCGATTTGCAGCTCAATTCCGCGATGGTCAAAACACATTGCCCTCGTTATCGAAGGTCACATGCAGGAAATAACGAAATACGCCGCCGGTTAATTGGCACCGAATTCTCGGAATTCAACTTCAATAAAAATGTGATGCAAAATACTCTCCTTTAATTTAATGAACTCGCAAGTTTTAATTAAGGACTCTAATTATGCTTAACAAAATTAAATAAAAATTACGTTGCTCTAAATTTAATTCTGGCCAATTAGTGATAATTACTACTTTTGAAACGTATATTTGCAATTTATTGAATAAATTTTGTCTAATTTCTTACAGTTTAATATTTTAATTATTGTTGTTTATTCTAATATTTTAATAAAAATTTTAAGTACTCAGCATTGGATTTATTTCCTTTGTATTATTAATTACTATGCTTGTTGTAAACTTAAGAACTTGGCAATGGTCGTGCTAATGTGAACGGAGGACACGCGAGTAAAGGGTTGAAGAGCCGGCGATACCCTTGCCCTTTCCCGCCGCATCAAAGAAAGATTCATTTCGCTTTTCTCTCACAGACGCCACTTGACCCTGCGGCTGAGCTTCTTCTTTGCTCTTTTCAAGAGAGACCGCACAGGGATTATTTGCATTTCTTGCCAATTGTGACTCACATTTGTTGCTAATCAGACTTGGTGGGAGCGATCGCGCGGCGTGCGTGGGACAGCGAGAGAGGCTTTTGATTGTTCTCAATTGATAAAGCGACACTTAATTATAAAAAGAAGCCTTTAATGCTACGGAATGGAACAATTACTACAATTGACGAATTGACGCTTGGTGACTCGACGTGTAAAGTCATTTGTGACTTGTGACAAAATTTTTAGTTAATTGTGCCACCGGATGTGAAATACTTTAATTTAACATGACAATTGGACAAATAAACAACAACAGCAATTATAATAAAAATAATTTGAAAAAATAATGTATTCTTCAGGATTATTATTGTAATTCTTAATTTATTTATCATTTTAATAATGTTTCTTCTTCTAAAACAATTGAAGTTTCCAATTTTTGTGTATTAACACGATTGTACAAAATTCCAATTTAATTTAATTTAATAAGAAATCTTATCATTCTTTAAAACAAGGCCTGATTTAACATTCATGGTTTGAATGACCTTTGATTAAAAATAAAGCCTTCTTCTCGATCTATTTTGTTCAAACGCAAGGAAATAGAATGTTTAACCTTTATTAACCTTTATTTATCAAGTGTCGCATGAGAAAAATAGGTTCCGACTTCATTTCGCTAATGATTTTATTTCTGACGAATATATGGTTTTCATAACACCCGCAGCCTGGAGCAATATTCAATATTAATTGCTGCGTAACGCTTACCAATCAATACTGTGCGGGCACAATGGAGTTTAATTAGGCGCGTTCGTTGCGTCACCCGCGCTATTGACAGTGGCAAATAAAAAAAGGCCTTCAACAAGTATATAAATAATAAAAATATCGCATTATTATTTGTTCCGTGAAAATATAAAATTCGGTTTTGGAAGGAAGTGGCGTCCTATTAAATATCTGCGCAGTTGTTTTGAATTTTACTGAAATTTTCAATATAGTTTTGACGTCGGTTGAAAACAGGAAGCAACCAAGCATCCTGATGGCAACTGTTGAAATTATTGCAACATTTTTAAATTCAAATTGTGAAATTTCTGAATCTACCAGTTTTGAATATTGTTTGTGATTAATTTGGAAAATAAAATAACTGCTGGATTTTATAATTACAGAATAAGAATTTTTTAAATTGCGAGTTTAATTTTCTTTACGATGGCAGTTTTAAGTTTCAATTTGAAAAAAGTAGAATTTGTAATAATTAAAAATATTATTTAACATTTAAAAACTTCACCCAGGGATATTTCAAATCTAGAGTTTTTTTTCTAATTACGCAATTTCGCGATTTGCTCGAACAGTTTTGTTAGAATAGTTATTACGCGGCATTGGCATTGCAGGAGTGCCTCTCGACCATGTGTGAATCATTTGACATTGGCCGCTGAAAATCCGACGTATGTGCGAACGAAACTCCATCCATGCGTCCACCTTCGCCGCTCCAACCAACCAAAGCAAACTACGTCTCGGCGTGTTATTATTAATTGCATCACATGAACAGCAGAGGCGGCATTCAAATACCTCTGAATTTTTTTAACTCAAGGCCAGGCAAAATGATCAGTGGTTAAATATTAAATTTTTGAAAAATGCAAATAGATTTGTATATTTTGTACTATTGAAAAGCAAAACAAAACCATTAAATTGTTGTAGAAAAACAATTACGATTGAAAATAAAAGATTTCTGGGAATTAGACACGGCAATGCAGGTTTTTCCTGTTGGTCATTTATGTAATCTTGTGTTATTCTTTTGAAAATTCCCACGTTGCCTCTTCTCTAGAGGACAATAAGGTCGTTTGCCAGCTCTGAATAACACACTCTAATGGTGAAGATGAATTTTGAAGAGCAAAGTAAGGTATTATGAAAGACGAGAGCGCGTCTCATTTCGATTTCGCTCGGAAGTTCAGAGTTAATTATGTCTCGGCAAAAAGAGACTTTTATAGATTTCAAATGAGAAGATGAGAACATTGATCATATAACAGTTTTAAAAATTAAAGCTCTCAATTTTCATTTTACAAAATAATAATTAATAATTATACAAATTTGATGATTTAACTAACAGTTTAATTTTCACCGAAAACAACTATTTCGATAAAGAACTTCCGTAGAACAACAATTTTTGGTCAAAAGTGAAAAAACAATTTTAAATTAATTTCGGACGATTTTGGCAAAAATATACCAATTAAATTTTTTTAATTAAATTTAAAAAAAATTACCTCAAACATGAGTCCGTCGCCCGAGACAATGATGATGTCTGAGTAGGCGGTGGTGAGGTCGTGCCTTTGTCTGACGAAGCGACGGGCGTCGTTGGGACCTTGAGTGAGGTGGAGGTCGTAGGGCAACTCGGCGTCGATCAGCAAGGGCGCGACGCGGCGCTCGAAGATTTCCTTGGCTCGACCGGAGCCGCTTTTCGGGTTCACAAAAACCAGCAACCGACGTTCCTCGCCGCTGTTTGGAATTTCTGTAATCAGATTGAAAACTTTTTATAATTTCAAAGAAGGCGGAAAAATTTTCAACAAAAAAAAATTATGATTTGGTTAAATTTTGATAAATTTTAACAGAGTGGTTAAATCAGCTGTTTTAAATTATGTAATTATTTAAGTTATATCGAATCGTTTTCCTGGTTGAAAGTGACGGTGATAATTATATGTTGGATCTGCGCGTCTCGCTGTAGATAAAAAAAATTTTCCTGATACATTCAGACAGACGTAAGAGTGGTGCCTGAGGCAAGGTCAAGATTTGTTTGAGGTTCTAGGTCATTAGGACCAGTTCAGAATCATAGCGTTCTTGAGCCGAATAATTAAAGGTTGAGCTAACTTGATGAAGATCTAAGCAAATTTAGTTTGTTTATGTTTAATATACAAATCTTGTAAAAAATTAAATAAAAATTAAGAGGTAAAGAATACGCTGAAGACCAAAACTTGACAAAACGAGATTTTTGTGATAATTTTTAGACTATTTAAGAAACGATGAATTTTATTTTTCTAAATTTTAGGGAAGTTGAATATTATTAATGGTTAAATTTGTTGAATTTTAATTTGGACCAATTCTGAAGTGAGAATTAAAAAAAATCAATTGAAATTAAAAAGAAACTTTTCTGCGACAAGGATCTCTTCATTTCCAATAAAAATAAAGGCAACAAATTGAAATTTCGCCAAAAATTTCCATCATATCTCAACAGCGTGAACTCTAGTTTGGAAAATGTGGCACGTCGCCGCAGCAGACCAGACTTGAAATAAAATAAATTATATCTGTGGAAAACCGCCGACGATCAGCGAGCCAAGAGTCGCTGCCAAAACGACCGACGACCCTGACATTTCTTTCTCCAGAACTCGGTATATGGATCCGAAGCAAAAATGCCATTCATCACCCTGAGCAGCTTTTCCGCAAATTGACCGCGAGAGGCAATTATTGACACAACAATTAGCTCCTCTCTGGCGTTTGCTGCATCGCACGATCGATACGGCGCCGGCTTCATCTCCAGTTTCAACCGAGATGTAAAATTTTAGTGCCGACGACTTGCTCATTATTCGTTGCACGGATTTTGCATTGTTTGTCCCGTTGCATTTCGAACGCTCCATTTCGATTGTTCATTTTGATTGGGTCAAACGGCCAAAAGAATGTTCAGGGATACTTTGTTCGGATATATTTTCTGTCCATTGTTGCCTAAACTTCAATACATATGTGAAAGGCAAAATGATTGACAAAAAAATTGCATTTGTAAATTGCAACACCAGTTTGAATATATCTCATTGTTTGTTTTATTTATTACAGTTGAGAGGTCTTAAAATTATTCTATAGTCAAAAGTAGAACAGCAATAATAATGAAAACAAAGTGTAAATACACAATCAAAATTTTCTCTTTGGTGTTTTTAACTTTAAATTTAATACAGTGAATTTAAAATAAAATTAAGTATATCAAAAGTAAATAAATTAATTTAAAATTTTAATTCGAAATTAAAAATAATTTCTTTCAACTTAAAATTTCTTATCCGAAACATGAACTTTCATTGGAATTAGATAAAACTATTGAAGTCCATTAAAGTTGCAATCAGAGCGGCGAAAAGATCCCAATCGGCCTCGAACCCTTTTCCTTTCAGGCGGAATTACCAGCACGCAGCTTTGCACGTGCGGAGAGTAATAACAAAATAATGCATCACGAGTAATGGCCCATTGTGCTTTCTCACGATCGATCACTGCAGCACCAAAGTCAATTATTGTAGTAACTTTGCAACGCTGCACGCAATTAAGCGTTCGCCGCGGCGAGGCCCACGATGGTGACCAGTGCGGCTGCTTCGGGTGTTGTGTATTTTATCGGGGGCGCGTTATCGCACCCTCCATTGCTTTATTCCCACAGGGCGCGGCCTTAATTCGCTCCGTCGGCCAAATGCACGAGGCCAAATTTAATAAAATATAAATAAAGTACGCGCAGAAAAATAAAAATCAATAAACCATGAAACGTGATTAATAATAAAAAAAATAATGCATTGCACTGTTTTATACAATTTTTTTTAGTTTAGTTGAAGCAAATCATGATGAATAGCAAAAAAATTAATACGCATGAATAATCTGCAGCTCTGAACTGACAAGATACAAAAAATAGGGCAACAGATGGTAATCAAAAGTTGTCAAGCATTTGTTTTGTTGAACTGCAATATATCATTGTGATATTATCTGACGTTATGTTATGACGTCGTAGATTAATTATTCATTTCATTTGCATAATATTTATCAAAAGAAAAGCCATTAGAAAAATCAAGGAAAATAATAAAAATTTTATTTTAAATTTTGTTATAAATTCTTTAAATTAAAACAGTCATCTTTGTTGAAATTTTACAATTTTCATGGGAAATTTCTCTTCAGAGATAAGATAATTTTGCTATCATGCGCTTCTTTCAATTAATCTTCTCTGTTTGTGTATTTAGGCAGTTGCTGAAGATGTGGTTATTTAGCCATTTCGGAGGAAATATTTATTAAATAATTTTTGTTTAAAATTCAAAAAGGCAAATTTTTCAAATCCAGAGTAAATGTTTGTAGGGAAAAATTAAATTTCATTCAGCCAAATTCCAATTTTTTAGTAGAAACTGATCATCTACTAAAAATCTAATTTAATTATCAAGCTCTAAACAAAAATTCCACCCCTATATTTAGTTTCTTTTTTCTTTTCTTCAAATATTTTAAAACTTTCCAAAATTTCATTCTTTGAGGCTCATAAATGAATTTCTGCACTTTTGAATTGCAATGTTGGAACAATTGAAAGGATTTCCTTTTTAATATAAAAAATTCAACCCGAGTGCACTTTTGCTCCTTGAAGCGTGTTTTCTCCGCGATTATTGCAGGCTGCATTCTTTGATTTATCAGACGAGAAAATTGCTGCACTACCAAGGTGATTACAAAAGAGATTGCGGTATGAATAAGGGAAAACCCACGCGCTAATTCCCTGCACGAATGAAGAATTAACAAACGTGAACAAATGCAAAACAAAAGCGATGTTTATGGTCGGTAGAATGAATGGCGAGGAATGCAAAAGCGACGAAATTCCTTCTCTGAAAAGCCTGGAAGCTGTTTGCAGTCTTCTCAAAGGAATCTTTTGAAAAGAACTGGAGGCGCGCGTCGTGGGAAAAACAAATCTTTTCGGAGGCGAGAAATTAAAACGGCGGAGAAGAGGAGGCAAATTAAAAAAACGCGGTTTGCCCCCGGTTGGGTTTTCGGCGGCGCATCTCGCGAGAGCAGCATCCAGGGCTAAAATCTGCACGGGCTATCGATCGGCGGAGAGCGACGGGGCACCTGCAGTGTACATTCGCGCCGCTCGCACTCGCCAATTGCAAAAGTGGAGGAAGAAGAAGAAGCAAATCTCTCTGACTCAAAAGCCGCCTCGTTTGCCTTTTGTCGCCTCTTTGCTTTTCTCTTCGCGGCGTCGAGACGAATTAACAAAATAATAAAAGAGTTCTTTTTTTTTCTCTTTCGTCGAGTGTCGGAAAATTACACGCCGAAAGGTGCGATGAAAAGGTTGCGTGGTTTGGGGCTATTTTCAGATATACGTGGCCTGCATGCAAATCGGCCATTGCAAAAGTTCGCAGGCCGTTGATATCGAGGGGACCCCAAATTTTATTATCAGCTGGAGGCCTTGATTTTTTTACTGCGAGGATGTGACAAAATAACCGCTGCATTGTCAGTTGTCAACAAAAAATAGCGATGGCCTTGGTGAGTGAAAGAAAAGAATAACAAAACTTTGCACTTCTCATAATACACAGTGAAAACAAAACACACACTATAATCAGTCTATCTCGATTATTATGTATCGTTTTGGGTATCTTCTTATCAGTCTCAGTCATTGTACTTGATTCAGATTTCAGATTAACGCCTCGAGAGGTCAAATTGATTATGTTCATCATTGTTTGAATTATTATAAATTGAATAATCATTTTTTTCTAAATTTCCTTTCATTTTAATTTTTTTTCGTGTGATTCCCTTATTAAAATTTAAAATGATTTTCTAAATTATTCTTGCTTACAAGTTTCATGAATCAATTTTGCTCTAAATTAATTAATAATTAATTTCAATTTGCTAATTTTTTTATATTTTGCTCATGAAATAGGGTCGCAGATCGTGACTTAAACTGGTAAAGCCGTTTGTTTTTTAATAAGTAAGAATTTCTGCAACAAGGAAAATCCCGATCTCTTCATTTTCAATTTTCTTCCAGTTTTGTTTAAATTAGCAAAGTAATTTTCTTGTGTTTTGTCAAATTAATTACAAAGGCGTCTGCTTGAGCTTTCCACAGAGGTAATATAAATTAATTGATGCGAAAACAAGAAATTAATCATGCTTTTTCCGCCATTCTGAGAATTTCACGGGTGCAGTATTTGAAACCACGAGCCCAATTAATTGCTCAATCTTGTGTGCAGCTTTATATTTATTTATTTGCGTTGTAAAATTTCCTAACACGGTCAAAACTTGGTCTGGCGTGGCATCAACAACTCTTATTTTATCTCTAGTCTGGGCGCAACGTTGGATTGAACGACAGGTGGTGACGCAAGCATTCCTGAATTAATAATTTATTTCTTGGGGAGAGACCAAGAAGAAATTTAACCTTGAGAGGGAAAAGGTTTATCGGAAATAAAAGACGCGCGCGGTCGTAAACGGTGCGGGGAGCAGGTTTGTAAAAAGGGTTCCCTCAAATGCTTTAGTCGAGTTAAATATTAGGAAACGCTGTGGCCGCCTGCAGTGGTCGTCGCCGATAGATAAAAATATGAAAAGTCAACGACATTTCCGACAAAAATACGTGTCTGTTATTAGAAGCTTAGAGAAAAAAAGTAAATATTTGTCTAGCGCGTCCAAGTATTCTATAATCTTTGTTTGTTTTGACGCAAGAGTTGAACTGAATTTTCTACAAAAATACGGAATGAAATAAAAAATATGTTGAAAATTAATAAAATCAGAGCACGAAGGTGACGTCCTATA